ACACAACTTCCATGCAACTGTGCCGCCGCACGAAGTTGTGCTTCTCACAGTACTCCTTCACCTTCTGCACTTTCTTCCTCAGCAGAGGATTAATATACGAGAATATTAGGGCCTAGATATGGTATCTAAGGAAGAAAGCAGTTCGAACAGGGTTTCATTGCATCCGGGGCACACTGGGAAAGCCAAACCTCCTTCACTAACAGGTTTCTTCATATCAGCTTCACTGAACCAAGCACCTTTGGTTCTGATATTCCGAAACTGCTCCGTCTTTCTCCACGACTCCACCTTCTGTTGGAAGGCCGCCTGTCGTTTGCGCATCCATCTCCCTCCCTCTTCTCACACTCTCACGCTGTGGCATTCTCTCTCTCTCTCTCCCTCCCTCCCTCACTCAACTCCCTCCCTATGTTCATCTGTTACGGACAACTTTCCCATTTCGGTCAAGCCTTGTTGCCATCGGCTTCGATCATGAGCTTCACCAGCTGCACACGTTTGTAGCCTTTGTCTTTCCAGTCCTTGACGAGGTCTGGGGAAGCGGCCAGTCTCCCGCTGACGCTGCTCGGCGTGCACATTCGCCGAATCTTTGCCTCCATACGGGCATACAACTTCTTGTACTCCGGATCATCCTCTGCATCGGAATCATCCGCCTGATCCACCTCTCGGCGACTGGGGTAGGCAGATGCGGGTGCTTCGGCTTCAACCAAGGTTGGCTCTGCAGCTTCCACCTGGGATCCCTTCGGAGGCTCGGAAGCCGTTTCAGTCCCCGTAGAGAGACGGCTTTGAAGGGATGCCGAAGAGTCCATTCGGATAGGGTGGGCTTTGCGCTCAGCAATGTCCTGGGCTTGTAGAGGATTAATCACGGATTCGCAGTCAGGGATCTCGGTTAATATGCTGCTAAAGATCAGAACTGCTGGTCACAGACAACGGAGCAAACACACTTGGTGTCCCAGGGTTTCTCCGCTGCAATTGGCCAATGATCTCGTAGAGTTGCTTCTCCCGGGCCTTATACAGCTGCTTAGCCGAACTGTAGCCTACTTTGTATATACTTGCCAACTGAGAATTGAACCGTTTGGGGGGCTGGCAGCTCTGCAACAGGACGACCATCAAGCAACTCCTGACACGGGGATGCAACACAATCTTAAATCCATATGATAAGTGGCCACCTTGGCCTGGATGTGCGCAGGTGGTGGTGTGCTCGGTGTCTTCGGCTGGTACATGAGCTCGCGTGGAACGGCAGCCTGTCCGAGACAGATCTGGAGTGATCTGGGTTTGGTTTTCTGCATAGTAATGTACCACTAATCAGTGTTCTTCGGGGTCCATAACAATCTCGGGCTTCTGAGCCTTAGGGGTTTGCGGGCCACGGAATCCAAGGGTCATTAGAGGGCTTATTCACCGATGCCTTTTTGCCACGAGTAGGAGATGAGAAAGATAGGCGAGCAACTATGCCATATGCTACATACGATAATGCTTTCGTTTCTGAAAATGTTGCTACATCTGCCACAACTCCTGCCTCTCCCCCCCGCAACAGAGCCCTACCGAACAGCTTTGCACTCGACATTTTCAGTTTAGCCACACTATAGCGAGCCTCCTCGCGGGGGATCCCATCGGCGTCGCTCGGCTTGGCAGATACTGGGACCTGCTGCACGGAAAGACACACAGATTGGGACAGAGGCAGAGAGAGTGAGAGTGAGTGAGTGAGTGAGTGAGTGAGTGAGTGAGTGAGTGAGTGAGTGAGTGAGTGAGTGAGTGAGTGAGAGTGTGTGTGAGTGTGTGTG